GCTGAAACCACAGTAGCATGATAGGTTTTGGCTGTAAGGGAAGGAGTAAGACTTGTACAAGTTTCTTGTAAGCTAGGGCCGGATGTACCTTTTGCAGGCACTAGAAGGACTGAGAACCAAACCCTTAAGCTGTGTGCCAATTTTCTGTTTACTGCTTTTGTGTTCTGCCCTGAGAAGTGGCTGATACCCTTTCTTGCTAGGAGGTGACAATTTCAACCCCAGATCCATGTGTTAAAACAAGAGCTGTCCAAGGCTACTGTCAGCACCCTGAACTCTGAGTATTTTGTTAACAGCTGAAACATGCTTTGATTTAGCTGCACTAATATGTGCTGGAGGAAAAGAGAAGCTGCATGTTAAGAGTGCAAATGTCATCTGCATGGCTCCTGAAGGCCAAGCAAAATGCTAGGAATTTGGCCTTAATTTGCAAGAGTCTATATTGTGTTACTTAATATATGTAGGTATCAGACATTCCAACTACAAAACAAAGGACTGTAAATTATGAGGTGTAATATTGATTGCTGTGGTAAGAGGTGAATTTTGCATGTGGCAGGATCTGTGTGTGTACCACAAGCCCAACCTGATGGCATAAGGCTGCTTCCAGACAAATTCCTGTCTACCCCACAACCGATGTATTTCTCTTGATCATTCTGTAAGTGTAGCCAATAATGACAGGGAATGGGAAGCCACTGTTGGTCTGTTCAAATTATAGCAGCAGTGCTTGGTCAGTAAGCAAGATGGTGTGATGGGAAGGAATCTGTCAATTTACCTTTCTTTCACCTATAATAGAAAGGCTTAGTAAACTTTGTAAGGCATTTCTCTGTTGTAACGGCTGCAAGAAGCCCACAAACAACTTGCACCTTATGTCTCATGCTGTACTTGATAGTGCACAGCTTGGTCTTCTGGAGAAAAAAAAATAAGGGTTTAGCCTACAAAGTGTATGGTTACATGGTTTCATTCAGTTTGAGGAGGAAAGAAGGCAAAGAAACCCCAAACAACCACATAGGTGTTTTTCTGATACTGCCTTTTGAACATAAATGGATGCTGGTTCTGGGAAATCAATTACACATAAACACCAAACCCCCTTTTTAATTTTTTTATACATAGACTAGTTTCTAAAATGCTCCTGGCTTCTAATGCCAAATCTAGGTTGCCTCTAAACAGAGTAATGACAAACTGCTTTAATCTATAAGTCTATAGTTAGGTAAAAAGGCTGGGATGCTTTTAAAAGCTTAGTTTGTTACCTTGGAAACTCTGAAAATAGAAAATACAGCCAAGTTATTAATGTTTTAATTTGAAAAGCGCCTTGCTGACTGATCAAAGTTTTGTTAACTTCACTTCTGTATTGCATTTCACTAGTGGTTAGTTCTTTGGGATGCTTCAGAGGATGTTTTAGGGTAAGTGGGCAGGGAAGTACTGTATTGGCCCCTCATGAGAGTAAAGACTAACAGTTGAGATACTTCTGTAGTACTGATGAAGATAGAACTAGATTCAGTAACTAAGCAGGAAGAAGTGCACAACATGGTAGTTAAGACAGGTCCAAAGTCCCATCTGTTGTATGTGGCTGTTCTTGGAGGCCATAGATACCTGGTTTAAATCTTGCAGGTGGTTCTTAGGACTAAAACTTTTACCACCATTTGTCCGAATCCTAGAAGAGCTTGAATATTTTGCTTTTGATGCCTTATTCTATCCTGAATGCTTTTAAAATAGTAGGAATAATCCTAGGTTCTTTCAGAAACTGAGTTGGCAGTACTTGATAATCAGTACTGCTTTGATGCAAGTAACAGAATACTGCTGAAAGAATGTAAGTGATTGGCAAGGGATATTCTGGCCAGTTTTTACTGATTCTTGTAGCCTGCAATAAACTTCAAGATGTGTGGTGTCATTTTCTTATAAAGAAGGGGGGCACACACCCACCTTTGAGAACTCTTGTTGTATCACTAGCTTTTGCCAGCTAACTTTCAACAGTTGGCGCTGTTTCTGACAACGCTGCTGAGGTGTGTACCACTGTGAGCACCTTGCTGCATGTGCTTTTCTGGAGTGCTTCCTGAATCTAAACAGCTTTTTTGTCTCTTTGAAATTTCAGGAAGATGTTTGTTGGTGGCCTCAGCTGGGATACAAGCAAAAAAGACTTGAAAGATTACTTCACCAAATTTGGTGAGGTGACTGACTGTACGATAAAGATGGACCCTAACACAGGAAGATCCAGAGGCTTTGGATTTATTCTCTTCAAAGAACCTGGGAGTGTCGAAAAGGTGACTTTAAGCTTCATAGTTCAGATTCCTGACTTTTAGGGGAAGCTTTTCAGCTTGAGTTAATCATATCAAACTATCTTTCAGGTTCTGGAACAGAAAGAACACAGGCTAGATGGACGACTAATTGACCCCAAGAAGGCCATGGCAATGAAAAAGGATCCAGTGAAGAAAATATTTGTTGGTGGACTCAACCCAGAAGCCACAGAAGAGAAAATCAGGGAATACTTCGGAGAGTTTGGAGAGGTGTGTAATGTTACCTTGGTAAACACTGAAGTATACAGTCTTCAGTTGCTGTTTAGTTTACTAATAATTTGCAAGTTGCAGATTAACTTTAAATGTATTAAGGCTTCTGTAACTGATGCAGAGGTTTCCCATCTTGAGAGCAAGGGAGGCACATACTGTACTGGATGCTTCCATTGATAGACACTCTTGTCTTAAACATTTTATCAGAAGTTAAAACTGGTTTTAAGAGCTGCAAAATTGAAACCTCTGGTTTGAAAACCGATGTTAGTATAGGAAGAACATTGCAACTGTGGTGTTGCATAATATGCATAGACAGGAAACTTAAGAGTTTTACTGTCCCAAATGCCATGTACTTAACTGTTGTGCTAAAATACAAGTCTGAAAACAGTATTTCTTGCCTTCAGATTGAAGCAATTGAACTTCCAATGGATCCAAAGACCAACAAGAGGAGGGGGTTTGTCTTCATCACTTTCAAGGAAGAAGATCCAGTGAAGAAGGTTTTGGAGAAGAAATTCCATAACGTCAGTGGAAGCAAGGTAGAAACTTTGACTTTAACTTTTTGTCCAAGTTATGAAGTGTAATACCACTGCACCTGTAACCTGAAAAGGATTTTGTAGACACCTGGTCTCAAGGTACCAAAATTACAACAAGGACAAGCAGGTGTTTTGCCCTAACTTCAGTCACAGAGGCTATCAAGGTTCCTTTGCCAGTACTTGTGGCTTTAATACTTGCTATGCTCTAGGGGCTTTTGTATGTAAGGTATCTAATTGCATTCATTAAATACATGTGGGAAAAGTGGCTTATTTATGTATCAGTCCAGCAATGTAAACTATTTGAACATATATATATCTGTGCATAAAGCACGCACATAAATTCAAGGCTTAGAGACACTTAACTTTGTAAGCAGCTGGCTGGAACTGCCTCTGTCTGACATGGCACATTCTGGTGTCTTCTCTCAGAAGCCCCCCACTGCTACCAAAACCATGTCATGTAAACCAAATGCAAGGATGCACAGAGTAAACTTTTTATGGCACCTTGTACCTGATCAGCTGGTTATGTGAAATACACTAAATGTGGTGTGAGATGCTCTGAAAAGCTGACTGCTCCTCTGTGGAACTAGCTAATAGAGACTCATGTGTCAAGCTAATAAGAGGGAGGACTGGAGGCAAATGATGTGTGCTGGCTGGAGGTATCCCTCTTCCCTTTCTCCATGGCCAGTAACCATACAGTAGATCTGTATCTAGATCTGGTCATAATGAGCCAGTGACTTAGACTGCACTTAATTTAATGGTCTTGACGCAGCACAGAATAATCTTTGGCAAATGTAATGCACTGGTAGCTGTCAAGACACAAAAAAAGCGGCTTGTTTTCAGGACAAATGAATACTCATTGCCAAGAGAGTGGAAAACACATCTGTATCTCATAACTGAGGCTTGTTTGTGTTACAAATGTGATAATAAAAAAGAGCAGGTTACCTTAAAGCTGTGGTGAGGAATTCCAAGCCATGCTTGCTTGAGTGCTGCTATCACAGGGAGTTGTTCGTTTCACAGCAGCAGTAGCCTTCATCTCAGCCTGTGCACAGATTCAGGAACTAGGAAGCTGGCTGACAGTTTGAACTGCAGCTTGGGAACCTGCCTTGGAAATGCCATCATAGAATCACAGAATGATTTGGGTTGGTAAGGACCTTAGAGCTAATCCAGTTCCAACCCCCTGCCACGGGCAGGGACACCTTCCACTAGAGCAGGTTGTTCCAAGCCCTGTCCAACCTGACCTTGAACACTGCCAGGGATGGGGCAGCCACAGCTTCTCTGGGCAACCATTCTGTGTCAATTCTGTTCTTAGTATTTGATAAGTGATGATTTCAAGTGCTGGTAGATGCACCGTAGTCCAGCACAGATGCTCAGCATATACAAAGGCTGCCAGAAAAACCGTTCTTGTGCATTTCTTAGAGCCTGGTTCATTCAGTGCAGCTCTGGTGAAGTGGTCCAACAGCAGCAGCCTCATCTTGGAGGTTGTGCCAGGATAGTGGGCAGCCTTGTGGCTTCTACAGGAGCAGTAGCAATGCCAAGGTAGCCTTAGCACTTCTTCCATGGGGGAGTTGATAGAAGAGAATAGACATTATTAAAATACTCTTAAAGCAATGGCCTGCTTTGTACAGCCAGTAATGACTCACCTTTCTCTTCCATGGGGAAGTTGATGGTAGGAAATAGGTGGTATAAAATACTCTGAAAGCAGTGGCCTGCTTTGGCTGCCAGTGACTTACCTTTGCCCAGGTGGCACAATGGATCAGATGCTTCTGGGTATGTGTTAGTCCTGCTCACATGATGGGGAGCACAGCATGTATACCTCCTTTGCCTCCAGGGTAACCTCTGGCTTTCCTAGCTGGTTAGGTTGGGTGCTGCTGCTATAAGAACAGCATACACACTCATCCTTGTTTCTTATTTTCAGTGCGAGATTAAGGTAGCGCAGCCAAAAGAAGTTTACCAGCAGCAACAGTTCAGTAGTGGTGGAGGAAGAGGTAGCTATGGAGGAAGAGGCAGAGGTGGAAGAGGCGGCGGTAAGTACCACACGCACTACTTTAGTATGGACACATTCTAAATAAGTTGTGTGTACTAAAATGGGATTTTGTGGATGGTTTTCCCTTCTATAGCTCAAAGTCAAAATTGGAATCAAGGTTATGGCAATTACTGGAACCAGGGTTATGGGAATCAAGGATACGGCTATCAGCAAGGTTATGGTGGCTATGGAGGCTATGATTATTCAGGATATGGGTATTATGGATATGGACCAGGCTATGATTACAGTAAGTAAAGAGAACTGTATTGGGTATAAGCAAGCATAACTAATTAGCAGTTTAATGCATTTGTTCTCTTGTTCATAGGTCAAGGCAGTGCAAATTATGGGAAGACACCAAGACGTGGTGGTCATCAGAATAACTACAAGCCATATTGATCAAACTTATTCAGGTATGCAGTGGCATGGTCTCTTTTGGAAAATGACTGCATAGGTTTTGTATACAATGCTGTAGATGGATACTTCAGTTCTGTACCAAATTTAACTTTACAATAAATTTCTATGGCCTGTTAAATGTGCATCTTACTTGGAAGAGCTCCCTGGAAATGTTTTACATGTTTAATACTTAAAGATAACTAGTTGTCTAGACAGTGTGGTGTGTAAATTTCAGCCTTGCTGAAGTTATTAATTAATGATTTTATTAATAGGTTAAACTGAAACTGATTTTGAGGGTCTGCTTAAAGCTGCAGCTCTGCATCTAGGGACTGCCTCTTGGAGTTAACTATGGACTCTGCATTACTCCAGTTGTACAGAATGAGATGCATCTTAGGGAACCAGTGTCACTTTCCACCTTTTTATTTTGTATTGTTTTTGTGTCATACATTTCCTGTAATGGAAGTGTTAATTTTACTGTACTTTTTGGTACCTTTTTGGAATCTAATGTATTGTAAGGTATTTTACATGTGTTCTGATTCACCATGACATGGATATTGAAGCTATCCTAGCTTTTGAAATAAAAAAGGCGTAATCTAGTGTCTTGTGCCATTCTTCAGCTTATGTATTAGTAAAACGCCAGCATCCTGTTCCCAGAACTTAGTTCATGGCAGTACCTTGGTAGATGAAGAGTTGTGCTTCCATTTTTTTTAATCTTAAAACTAGAAGGCTGTATTGGTAGTTGTGCTCACTTGCAGTTAAGTGGCAGCTGAAAACTGCAGTCACTTCTGCCTGGAGGTTATAGAAGAGAATTGAGGTGGAAAGCCCCAGCTGTTGTGGAGGCTGTGCTGGCAGCTCATGCTCTAGACAAGCACAGAGGCTCAGCATAACTGTATTTAGTGTCTGCATTATAGGGCTGTGCTAGGAGGAGCCAGAGGTGTAGGTTTCAGGTAGGGCTTGGGAGTCTAGACAGCACTGCAGGAGGAAGTCGAGCTGTGCAAGCAGCTGGCTGCATTTCCTTCATGTTCACTGCCTTGAGTCTGAGACTTTTCTACAAGTTCTTAACTGTATGTTATACAATAACCTGCCTTGAAAGACAGGTTAGACAGACATTAAATTACCAATGCAAAGTCTGAGTATCTGCAGCCTTTTTCTGCATCAAAAAAGGCTAAAAAAATCTCCACTAAAGTTGTGGGTAGAGAAACAACAACAAAACATGTCTTTCAGAAAGAGATGAGTGACCAGCTCTGAATAAGCTCTCTTTTTTTTTTTTTTTTTTTTTTTTTTTTTTTTGACTAGTTGACCACTATTTGAAGGCAGTTAACTATTACGTTATTTGCCTCTCTGGCTGCAGAATACTCCCAATCTCAGATTTATAAGTAAGTAGCAAGTCTGGCTGCACAAAGTAAACTTCTAACCTTTAATCAATTTAATCTTTCCTTTTAAAAAGTTGTAAGTTTTTTTTTTTTTCTTACCATGAATTCTATTTGAATAAATGGGAACCAGAAGTGGAATCAAACCAAGACGCTAAGACAAGGCACAAACATGTTACTAGTGACCTTTTCAGGGTTTTTTTTTTAAACAAGGATGCAGCTATTCCTGCAGGGACTATAACATGCTGCTCCCTGCTGGCTGTCCTTGGAAAGAAAAACTTGCTGTATAGTTACAAGTCCTTAAGACTCTTACAAGCCTGTAATACTTTCTGGTGTTAAGTGGAAATCTGGAATATAAAAAAGATGAATCAGATCTTCAATCTGACAGTTGATATGACACCTTTACAGCTGGAGTATGCAACCTAATGCCCAACTAGCAAATGAAATTGCCTACCACTGAAAGAAATAAGTACAGTATTTAAAAGTATTACGGTTTCAGGATGTAAAATTGAAATGCTTTACTCTATTGCATACTTTAACTTGTTTTCCTATGAAATAAGGGGTAGCAGAGTATTTTTCTAGCAAATAGTTTGCCTTCCAATGGGGAATGTGCACAGTATGAGACCCATACTGCTGCAGTGTATTAGCAGTAGTCTGTCAGCTGGCTGTTACTCTGGTGGTGTTGGAAGGAGGTGTGTTCTCAGGTGATGCTTCCTTGGCAGGTGATGTGGCTTTAAGCAGAAATTGAGGATACTGGTACTTAAATGCAGAGCTGGCTTTCCCTGTATTCTTTGCCTGAAAAGTTTGTGACACAACATGTAATTGCCTGGTGAAAGCAAGGGCTTGTGCACAAGGTTGTTGCTTATGGCTGTAATGAACTCTTACTTTACTAATCCTACTTGGAGATTTCTTGAGGACACAGAGTATTTTGTAAGAACCGGTTTGGGAGCCGTGGCCCTCCCCCGTCTGTTCCTCGTGCGTTTGATGTTACAGGTTTGGGACTGAAGTTTGTGACTTAATCTGGTTACAGAGACTGTTAACTATAGTGTTGTTAGGGACCTTGTTCTGAAACTGGTTAGAGGAGCCTGGGTGTACTGGCAGCTAGAATGGTGTTTGCATAGGTAGCTGCAGATTTAAAGAGAGAACCCACTGGCTCATCTTCATTTGCAAAAGTCATAACCTGAAAGAGCATGAATTTAGAACATGTAGTTTATAGCAGCTACTAGAAATACATTCCTTTATAATCACTTTTAGATAATGCTGTTTTTAAATAAAAGCCAATTCCACACTTCTGCCAGAGTTGAAACAAGCTCTAGCAAAATTTATTTCTCTGAAAGCTTTTACTAATAACAAGATAACTGAAAATAATAAAATCAGAGGTAACTTATCTGGTCTAAGACATGCTAGGATGAAGGTTAAATGTGCATAATTATAGTAGAATAGTGTTTCTTAGTAGATGATCTTGAACATTGTTTGAAACCTGTGGAAAGAAAATAATGTTACGGGTTTTTGGTTTGGTAAAAGCATCATTGACTTGGTCATTGCCTCATCTCGCTTACATTATATGTAAGTGTCACTAGTAGTGTACTTAGTAAGAGGTTTTTTGCATTCTTGGTTTCCTGTAGAAAATAAAGGCATTTTTTGTGCTTAGTTTAGATTGCAGACAAGTCCATGAAGTCACTAGGTCTTTAAGTTAAACTGGCACTGTCAAGTAATCTGTCTGTTCTCAAGAATAAGTAGTACCATCAGCTGTATGTCTTTCCGTTAACTTGCTAAATAAAATATTAACACATTTTTCTTGTGCCTGCTATACTAATATTTTAATGAACTAAAGACATGTTTCTCCTTAGCTCAGGGCCATAGCACTGTGAATCTAGTATGGTGGTTGAGGCCACCAACTATAACATTGATTACAAGCATTATATGAGGTACATTCCCATCTAGGAACTTAGAGTTTTACTGGGTGCTTGGTTAAAATACACTTGGTTGCCTTTTAGAGTAGGTTGAAGTACTTCTTTCCAAGTGTGTTGGTATTGAGGTGTTAACTGTGTAAGTAAGTGTGCACTCTGCATATGAGTGTGTGGCAAAATTAATTGCAGGTAGATGTTCTCTGTAAGCAAGCTGTAGAGGGACCTCAGCAGAGAATAAGATATATGAGGCTTGGAAGATTTAACAGGACTTGAGTCTTAATGATGCCCATGAACTTCCAAGTAAAGGAGTAAATTGATGCCTCAGCATGAGATAACAGCCATGAACCTGGAAAGATCCTGCAAAGTAGTCAAAAACGCTCAAGAGAACAGTACTATTTCAAGTCACATGTTAAGTAAAACAGGAGCTGTAGTATTAAAAGTACTGTTTATATTGGTCTTCATAAAGCTGTTGGCATAAGTGGAGGTTCCCAAATTGTGGCATGCAGAATGTACAGTGCTCCTGATGTCAAGGTCAGTTAAGTGGAGACTTGCTGAGAAGTAATTATACAGCTGGAACAGCTTCTGACTAGAGACTTGAGGCACTGAGCAGCATAAAAGCTGTTTTCATCTTGATGTGCATGTCATTTGCATGCCAGGGGTTAAACCCAGTCACTCTTAAAGCTCCCCAGACAAGCACAGCATGCTCTAATTGTAGGCTTTTCTGGGATATGGTGGACGTAGCTTACAAACAGTTGAGTATGAACAGTGTGTGTGGAAGTGTCAGACTGAGTTCTAGATGTACACAAAGTCTGGTCTGTGCTTCTAGATTGCCAGAAATGCCTGCAAACTAACTTCGAGTAAAAGCATCTCCAAGGATGCTTGGTCCTGCTCCAGTGCCAGTGACAATGCTTGTGAAGTTATGTCTAGGAACCTTGGCTTTTAAATAGTAAAAGATGAATATAGATAAATACCTGCTCAGGTAGCACAAGCGGATGTTTTCTGTTGGTTCAGATGTTCTTTTTCCATATCTGGAAAGAGCAGCAGCAACAATTTAGCAAACTCATGACAGTGCAGAAACTTGTTTCTGACTTGATTAATACTGAGTGTGCAGAAACTGTATAAAAAGCCAAGTGTCAAATGCACACAGGCAAAGCTATTTTAAGGCCTGTGCATCTGTGGAGTAAATAGTTTTGATGGGGAACTTTAAACCAGAATAATTCAGAAGTGAAAGCTACACTTGAATTGACTAAGCCTTATTTCCTGTGTGCTCAGTATCTACCATCTTGGCTGTTTTAGCATCTCTAAAAAGCAGGCTCAGCATTGACTTTAAGGCAGTCCAAAAGCAACCCTCTATAAGGCAGGGTTGATCTGTACTACCTGTTAGTAGCTTGTCAATTGTGTCCACAACAAATCTTGCATCCTCCTTATTGAAGCACATTGGGGGCTTGAATTTAAGTACATTTCTTCCTGGTCCATCTGTACTCAGTAGAATATATTCTTCCTTAAGTCTGGAAAGAAAATACCAAGGAATTATGTTTGTCTCTGCATATAGTTCAGAAGAAGTTAGCATCAGCATGCAGGCTGTCCAGACAATGCCCATCTGCACTGGCTGGTATCTTTTTTCTGTCAGTTGGCTATATTTTAACAACTACTGAGTGGCCAGATTACTTTGTTATTGTGTGCCTGCCTTGCACATGGAAGAACATAATTGTCCTTTGTACCTTGTTATTAGATACTCTGCTTCTGCTGTGGCTGGGGTCCTTTCTGCTTGATCTTTGATTAAGTCCACTCCAATGAATAAGCCAGAACCCCTTTAAAAGAAACAAAAATGGTCAAATCTGTGTCAAAGGAAGGGAAGTGTAAGTGAATTAAAGGTTTTAGTGAGACCAGACTGTTCCTGCATGGGAATTACCTGATGTTTGGCTAGTGATAGAAAGGGTATTGCTGTTTTGAAGAGCTGTAGTAATACAGCACAGACTTTTATCTGCTCAGAATGGCAGTGCAGGACATGGAGCATATTTTCCATCCAGCTCATTAATTCTCTTCTTTTTGCACTTGAAGTAAGAGTTCAAACAGGAAAGTGAATTCCTTTAGCAACTAACACATCAATAAAGCAATACTGGCCCAGGGTGGCAAAGTATATCAGGCTTTTGATAAGCTTCAAGTTGGTTTTAATCTGATGCACAGCAGGCTCTTGGATTTTCTCTGAAAACACTGATTTGATGAGTATCTTAAAACCACATCAGTTGGATTGAGTGTGAACCAAACAAAAAAGCAGCTAAAAACTGTAAATAAGGTGCTGATACCTGACATCACCAATGATGGGATGCTTCATTTTCTGCTCCTTGAGTAGCTCCATCAAGAAATTTCCTACTTCTGTGGCATGAGCCTGAAGGTGCTCCTTCTCAATCACATCTAACACAGCTAATCCAATCGCACATGAAACAGGGTTTCCTCCAAACTGAGCTCAGGAAAAGAGCACACATAGTCATGGAAAGGGAAAAATGATACAAGCATGTCACTGAGAGTGTGGCCTCAGTGATAATATGAGCATACTGCCATTTTTATCAGATAAAGCCAGTAAGTAGAAGGCTATGTGCTAGAAAGATACAAATATTATAAACAGTAACTGAGTGATAAAGATTAATAAAAAGACTGCATGGTTAATTTTAATACTTAGATTCCTGTAGAGAAGGGGAGTTTGGGCAGCTTTACTTACTTACTGTATTAAAATACTCAACTCCTGTGGCTGCAAATGCTTCTGCAATTTCTTTTGTTGTTGCTACACAGGCAATGGGGTGCCCATTTCCTATTGGTTTCCCCATAGTGACAATATCAGGTACAAAGTCTTCTCCCTGCAGCTGGAATGCCCAAAAGTGCTTGCCAACCCTGCCAAAGCCAACTTGAATTTCATCAGCAATAAATACACCTCCTGCCTTGTGCACATGCCTGTAACATAAGAGATTTTACTGTCTCATTTAAGAGAATAAACAGAACATAGTATTTACTGTTGAAGAACATGCAGAAAGCATTACTTTAAAGCATGTCTTTGCCTTAGAAAGTTTACATTCTAACATGAAAGCATAGGTCATTTCCTGCCTATCAAGCTATATGCTACAGCAGGCAGAGAAATTCTCTTATCTGTAGTTCACAAGTATGTTAAATTTCAAAAGATAACAAATGACCACTTACTCTGCAGCCTTCTGAAAATACCCTGCTGGTGGAATGATCTGACCACCCACACTTGGCAGAGACTCAGCAAAAAATGCAGCAATCTGAAAGAAGAAGTAGCATGTAATGTCTTACCACAGCACTGAAAGTTGTGGAAACTGTGTGAAGAGTTAGCAAGCTCTCTGGCATGGGGTGGTTCTTGCAGTATTATGTGATCTTTCCTCTTTGACAAGTCTGTACCACCTGGCTCAGTAATCCTGAATGGCATTGACAGGCAGCTGTGCTCAATTCTAAGGCAAGACAGATGCCTCTTTCTTACCTTTCTGCCTCTCTTATGTGCTTGCTCAATAATATTTTTCACTTCATTAGCATAGGCTGTTACTGAATCTTCATGGTCTTCTCTGTAAAGTCCTCTGTATGTGTCTGGAACAGGAGCCTGTGTAAAGGAACAGTATATTCAGTATATCATAAGTAAGACTTCACTAAATTGACAAGTAGTTGATAATTATAGCGTGATGTACGTACCACGTGGACCCATTCCTTCTGTCCTTCTAGATTTCTGAATTTATATGGGCTTATGTCAATCAAGGATGTCAGATGTCCATGGTAAGCACTTAAAAACAATTAGCAGAACTAAAAAGTAATTTCCTCAGTATCAACGAGGTCTTTAGGATTAGCATTCCTGATAGCTCAAGAGTAGCTACACTTTCACCTGGTGGGAGTACAGTCACTTTAGGTGAGAACAGCTCTGCAGTTTCTGTCAGTGAGCTTAGCACTAGTTGGATTTAAGGGATGCAGAGGCATAGTACACCCTTGGCACTGGTTTGCCTGGACCAGGGACTAGAATCACAGCAGTGTTAAGTCATAAGCACTATTACAGGACTGCAGAACTGGAAGGGACATGTCTGTCCTACTTCTGAGTATCCTCCAAGGATGGAGTTTCCAGTCCTCCTGAGCATCCTGGTTTAATATTTGACTACCTTCATGGTAAAAAAATTTTCTTTAGTGTCTCATCAGAATTCCCTCGGGTTTCAACTTACATCTGGGGTTTTTTTTCTTCCTGTCACCGTACATCTGCAGGCCTGACTCCATTTTTCTGCTCCTTCCCATTAGGGAGTTGTAGCAGCAGTAAGATCTTCCTCTAACCATCTCTTGCAGCTGAACACATCCTATGTTCTTAACCTCTCAAGCCTGTGGCTCCCTACCCATTGTGGCAGGCCACTGCTGGCCATGTTCCAGTGTGTGAGTGTCTGTCAGGGACTGGAGAACCCAGCCTGGACACAGTTCTCTGGGCTGGTGTTGCAAATACTGAACAGAGAGGAAAACTACATCTCTTAACTTCCTGGTGACAGTCTTCCTACTACAACAGGTTTTCAGAAATGTTGTGACCACACACCAAAACTGAGCCTTGTACCCCCACAGTAGATAAAATTGCCAATATACTTACTGGTCTAAAACTATAACATCCTCATGTTTTGTATACTGTCGTGCCAGTCTTAAGGCAAGATCGTTGGCTTCAGATCTACAATGAAAAAGTCAGTAAGTGTTTCATTATGGATGTCTGAGTTTGGAAATTCTAACCCCTCCCTACAGTGCTGTTTGTGTCTGCAAAGAACAGACAGAACTCGATGCATGTTACTCACAGAGCCCCTAGCAATCAGCACTCATTAGGTAGGACTGTTCACCAGAACTGAATCCACCTTAAAAAGCTGGAGTAGAGGAGCTACTTCAGAAAAGAGTTGTTTTAGCTGTAGGTTGCTTGGGAATATCTGCCCCCCAGCAGAAATATGCATTGCTATTAGAAGTAATTCCCAGTTCAGAAGACAAGTGAGACCAGAAGATAATACAGTGAACATTAACATTATAAGGCCTTGGATTATAAAACATGAAATAGAGTAAAATCCTTCTTAAAGGAAGCACTAGTTTAGTTTCCCGATAGAAGCTTACTAATGACTGAAGTCACTGAAGTTCTAAAAAGGACCACAGCAAACATGAACCTCCCAAATCATGGCTTTTGTCAGCATCTAGTCATCCATACCAAATACTGCAATTGGCTGTTGGTAAGCGAGTATTATACTTACCTACATACAGCTGGTGAGAACAAGGGATCAATTCTACCATAGCCAACTTACCCAGAATTTAGAAAATAGAAGGTGCATAACTTCCCAGGCAGTGTTTTTGAAAGTCTCTCTGCGTAGTCAACCAAGTTGTCATGAAGATAACGGGAATTCGTGTTTAACAGTTGATTTTGTTCATGGGCTGCTTTTACTATAGCAGGGTGACAATGTCCAACTGCAAGAGAGTGTGGAGAGTGGTTTGAGACTTCTTCTGTGTCACCCATGATGTTCATTCACAGATTAACGCTTGTATTTCTCTTAATAGTAGAGGGGTATCACTGGTGTTTATATTTCATCAGTGAGGCATTAATAATGCTGTCAGCAGAAGCCAGTATCAGCACACCTTGTAGGCTTCCTCTAAAAGGGTTTTTTTCCCCTCCTTAAAAAGTTTGAAGTTGCCCAATACTGTACTTTAAAGTTTGTAGTTAATACTGGAAATTGATGTGCTAAAACAAATAGTGTCTAATTTGATATTTGGATTTAGGCATCTGCATAATGTAGAAGTTTGGGAATGTGCAGGTAATCCAAGAATTATTACCCCTGTTACGGTGTTAGTGACAGCACTGGCCTCTTAGAGGTGTACTTCAAACGCAGTTACGAAGTAGCAGCTGTGTCCTAATGCACAATTAAGGTACCACACTGAGCAGTGGTCCCCTGACTGTTTGCTTAGCAGTAACTTTTACCAACCCAGCAGAATGTCAGGCTGTTTGTTGGCTGTACAGTTGGGTGCTTTGCTTGAGCTTTCATGGAAAAACTCTGTAAGTTTTGGACACGCACATCTCCAGGAAGGCAGAACAGGAAACAAGTCTGGACAGTACATTCACACACTCAGAAAGTCAACTGTAATTTCCCAAACTACAGGCTCTGGGAAGGTTTCTCCCACTTTTCCTGTTAAACAAACCCTCCCCAAACACAATGCAGTCTTGGTAATAAGTACTGATTGTTCCTTATTTTGCTTAGGAAAACGTGGTATCAAATACCATGACTTTAAGCTTACCGTGAGCAACGTTGTTGATGCAGTCAAGGTATTGTCTTCCATTCTCGTCATACATATACTGCCCTTTGGCCTTGACGATCTTCACAGGATCGTCAGCGAAGAACAGCTTGCAGGAAGAGCTGTGGCATCAGAAGGGAATATAAAACTGAATTCCAGTGGAATAAACTCCACTGGTAATATTTGCAGTTCAGTCAGTTAATGAAGGGAAAGACATTGCCCCCGTTTGTCATCCTCATTCTGGCCCTTGAAGTTAAATTTTGTTAGACTTGCAGGGAAAAAAATATGCTCCAGAACGGAAAATCCTTCACTAGGAATTTAGCCACAGCACTCAGTACCCGCCTCTGTAGGTTTATCCAGTCTTCACTATAGTTCCTTATGGTCTATGCTGTTCACCCTTCATGTCTTGAAACCCTCTTTGGTGTTTCTTACCTTGTGATTGTTCAAACCCTCTTTGGTGTCTCTTACTTTGTGATAGTTTATTATATTCTCACTCTGGTCCTGATTAATGTGGTGTGGAGATTGTTACATCAGTATAAAGCTTTGCTAACCTTAGCCGAAACCTTGAGTGATTTTGTAAGGTTGGGTCTATTTGGTGTGTTTGTTTTGTTTCACTTTTTAGATAAGTTGCCAAACAAAATGGAAACACGTGTCTGCCTAAATCTGAGTTGCAGGGATTTGACTCTGGAGGGCAATGCAAATATTCGTGCTTCATTTAGTAAAAGATTGCTTATATAAAAATACAGTAATTTGACCTTAAATACAAAATCATGGTCAAATTAACACCAAAAGGCAAGGATAAAATGAGAAAAAGGATAAAATGAGATAAAATGAGAAACTGCTTCACTATCCTTCCAGTGCAGGAAGTCCTGTGCTTTCTGTATGAGCTGGCAGTGGAGTGGTGAAACAAACAGGCAGGTTTTTGTGAGCTTGTCCTGAGTGTTGAGCAGACGCTAAGGAGGCGCAGTGAGAGGCTGCATCTTTGTTCCTGGTGGCAGGGCAGATTGGTGAGAAAGAGATTAAATGCACAGAGTAATGTTCTTCATGTTTGTGCAGTCGACACAGTTCTAATTCTGGCATTTACTTGCAGCCCAACTTCCAGATACATAACATATACCGAGATTAAAATAGCTGTGGTTCTGAATACATAAGGCACAGCATGAAAGCGTTCCCAGTTAGATACAACAGTTCTGCTGCCGCCTCTGGTAGCAGTTCACAGAACTAAATTCCTTAGGTCCGTTGAAACCATTTAAGTAATTAGAAGTTTGCAATTGAGTCTTGTGCTTCATTCCATCACACTGGGCAGACACGTTGTTAATCTGTCACGGTTTTGGTGTAATAAGAAGCTTTCCGGAGTACAGGCTGTAACTGGGTGGGTTCAGCCCCGCGTCTGCTCCCAGGAGCTGCTTTCTCAGCAGGTTAACGTTTAAACAGGCTCTAACGTGCCACACCGGTGTTCTACCTCAGTTCCGTAACCCTTCCCTCCCTAAGAAGTGCTGATCACTGTTAATTACAGTACCATCGGCCTTTGCATGCCAGC